ATCAATTATATACTGCGTAGAAGAATCGGCAAAGATTTTCTCAATATTCATGTCTGAAATGTTTATATATTTGAAAACAACACTGTCTCGCTCCTTCCTATGTGCTACGTACCTCTGTATAATGAGTATACCGTGAAAATATAAATATCGGCACTCAATTGAATGCCTAAAATCTCAAAGAATTTCGACTCAACACGATGGTCGGTTGCTATGCGTTTTGCTCCCGGAAGCGCGGGCTTCGTTTTTTCCAGCGGTATTGGTGTGAAGGCGAAATGGCGTCGTGTTATTTTATGATCGGAAAGGTCATGTATTTGGCCGGCTTGAAATTTCTTACTGTTAGAACAATTTTTTGGGTATATTTTAACTGGTTTATGTACTTCAATATTTAAAAGGAACTATTGTGATAATTTTATTTAGCAGTCAAATAACAATCGGATCTATTACTTAGGGACTGCCGTCGAATAGCTCTAGACGATATATCAAATTCGCCTCCTGTATAATAGTTTATCTTTCATATTACGGAACGCAAACCCGTGTACAAACTGTTCCTCTTTTCGCCTAAATTCGTGTTTCTTCAGCAGTATGTGTAGGTAATTTGGGGAAAATTATCTGATGCTACTTAGTACTAATACAGTGTATATATCTATTTAAAGTAATATATACCGACTGAGAAACATATTGACTCAGTCTGACTGTTTTGGTTAGCGACAAGAAATCTAGCTATACTATAGTTCTGTTCACGCAAGAATTTGTTTGATGAATATGTTCTATTATAAAACGCTTTCATTTTATATTTGTGTATGATGTATTTTGAGATATATAAACACATACTTCCATTGTATAGATGACAATATATATAGTAGATTTAGCTACAGTGCACATGAATATGCCTGCCAAATTACTACAGTTTATAATCGGCTGCGCAACTGATCCGTAGCGACATAAAATAATAGTAGCCTATTACAGTATATACCAGTGATTTAAAATGCTTAACTCTTTCTCGACCACCCCCTTTCGCATCAGATTACGACACAATTTTTCTAATATAAATATCTCCGCGAGTATTTACCCCCCTTGTAAATAAAAGCCACCATTGAAACCCTACTAAAATAACCTTTCGAACGGGGGGTCAAGTGCCGTCAGAGCATTACACAAACCGAAACAATCATATATTTACTCACTGCTTGGCCAAAGATTCTAGATTTTATATCTACAAGATCTTGAATATCTCTTGAACTTTTCGTCATTTTCTGAACGGCTATATGTGTAAAATACTCTTTGTATCCAAGCGCTTTCGTGTAGAAAGTTTGGTATGTATACGCCGACTAGAAATATTTATTTTGAATTTTTCAAGGTATCGGGTTTTAGTACGTATTACTCGCACTTGCGAACATTGCGCAATAATTGGCCAATAAGAAGCTCCTGTTGGCCGGTATGACGTCAAACTCACGCGTGTAGGTGCAATTTGACCTTGCGAATCCATTTCTGGCCTTTCCAGGGTCATATGATACAAACGTCGCATTGTTTTGACGTTTTTCAGACGTATTTCCGGTTGGGATTAACTCACTTCGAGCTCACAGTCGGACAAGAAATGGAAATATATTGATAAAAGATACAGATTTGAAGATACAGGCTTGCAAATAACACTCTAAATAGTGTTTTTGATGGGGAATCGAACAAGACTATTACAAAGACGATATGTGCGAAGGGGCCGAAGTTATTTTCAGCGAAAGGTATGGCTAGTCTATATTTTGTTCAGACAATTGCGTAATTTGATACAATATTATCGTGTTTGACTTTCAAAGGCCCATAAATCGTTACAATGTTAATAATGACTATAACTATCGTTTGGAACTAGTCTATCTTTTATTTCTGAATCGATTGGTGGTATTTCTGTCTTCATAGCATGCACTGAACCGAAAGTATGAAATTTTATAGCCGTCGATCGCTCAGGATCGACGCGATATGGCCTGTGGCGAGAAAGAGTTAAGATACGCAGATTTTCCAGAAACAGATTTCATGTCTTTGCGCACACTTAATTTTATCATTTAGTTACAATTCCAAGCGCTTTTCATGATGGTTTTCGCGTGAGGATCATATAGTACGTCTGCTACTCTCACGACTCAAATTACCAAGCATGTTATCGACCTTTAACGAGAAGACGGCTCCCCGACCGTAGCTTAAATAAACGCATGTGTAATGGATTTCTTTTGTAAACTATAACTAAGTATTCTGTAGTCATATTAATGTAAATAAAACTTGTGTAAGCCACACGATAAGCTTTTATCGAAGTAAAGAAACCAGCTAACTCAAGGCACGCAGTATGAGGCGAAGTAAACAAATATGAGAATACAAGAATACATGCAGATAAATCAGTAGTTTCAGCTATCAGTCTCATTTTATGGCCCTTGATGTATCATGTATACACCCTGCTTTCGTATTTTATGATATCTAGGCTATAAACACCAGATAATTCTACCCCTGAAATGGGCCGGTAAGTGTTGGCTACTATTAGTTAATAGGTTTATATAATCAGACTGCCTTTTAAACAAAAACCTACAACTTGTGGCCTATGTTGTAATTTTAATATTTCGATATCACATATTATATTAAACTGACAATCAACTTATAAATATGCAGCCGTTCTACAGCTTATACTATTTAGTAACTTAATTAAGCCGGGTTCCAATGCCAACCTCAGTTTATTCTTAGTAGGCCTACAGTATGAACCTCGCGTGACTTGCGTGACAGATCTCCTTCGCCTTCTCTGAGGTTAAAGAATGGAGATTTTTTCCAAAAATTATCCGCTAGTGGTCTCTGTTTGCTGGATTTTGCTGGATTTCCTTTATTTCCATCACACGTTTGACTTTTACAGCAATAATCTATCGAGTTAGAAAGACAAGACAGCGGGTGGTGAAGCAACAATATGGCGAGTCACGAATACGCTAATAATGCAAATGAGTTTGCCGAAGGATATTTTCTCCTCACCTTTTTTCGCTACTGCTCACCATTAGAAGTTCTTCAATAAATGATATTCTTCAACTTTGATTTGGGAAGTGTCTCCAGATTTACGTTTTAGCAAAAATATTTGAAAAATAAAACAAAAATGCGGAATTTTCAGCTATTTTCGCTTATAATTCTGGCAATGCTATAAATCCAGGGGGGTTTTCAAAGGGAGATTGTAGGGCACACACGTGTGGTGCTGTGGGACGCCTAGATGGTAGAATTTGTCCTTGTGGGCGGGATATCCTTCGACTGGAATGCGAAAATACATGCCCATAATAACACCATAATTTACCGCTTTGCATTTGTCCTGTGACTAGTTTGCGCTGCGATATCTTTAAACGGTTCAAGTATGTACTAATTGGGCAAGTATTGTTTTAAAAATGTTTGAAAGTAAACGCAAACGAGAGCGCTAAAGACGCGGTATTTTAACTGCGCCTTAAATCACAGCTAGCAGACCGGAAACTAACAACAATCGCAAATTGACTCCGGGAGCAAACTGCATAGCAACCGACCATCGTGCAATATTTACGTCTGAAGTGTTTTAATAATATACACTTGAAAAAAAGCACTGTTCCTAGCTCCTTCCCAGTTCTGTATAATATCGGCACTTAATTGAATGTCCGTAATGCATAACATCAATTTATATATTGCGTAGATTCTCAAAGATTTACTCAATATTTACATCTGAAATGTTTATACATTTGAAAACAACACTGTCGCCCCTTCCTAGCATATCGTCACACCATCGTGGCCTACGGCTTGATAACGCATGCGCATTTGAGCTGCTAAAGAAAAAAAGAAAATTTTCCTTTCCTTTGTTTATTTTTGTCTTTTTTGTTTTCTTCATGTTTTTGTTGTAATTAAGTTTATTAAGCGTTTCCATATTGATTACTGTCTTACTCTCCTAATCATAGTTTTTCTTGTGTCTCTTTAAAGGCCACCTGTCTCGATTAGCCCTTATGGTTATTACAGGTGGCCTTCACTCTCATTTGTAATTTTTTATCTATAACAGAATGTATTTGTATCGTTTTGAGTGTAAATAAACTATTGTTGTTGTTGTTGTTGTTGTTACACAACATGAGAAGCGAATGTTATAAAATTGACAAAAAATTACAATAACAAAAACGATTCCTCGAAATTTTTGTGAACCGGGCAAAAGGCCTAAAGAATATTTAAAGAAGCCAACTGAAATTACTTAAAAAACTTTCAAAGTACTGACTAAGTACAATAAATCACTGAGAACATAAATCGTATACACCCCCCGGAAGGTTTACTCTATGAATGACTGACTGACTGACTGAATGAATGACTGATAAGTGTGAATTTTCGCCACCATCACAATATTGTGAAGTTTCGAAGAAACTTCACACTAAAAAACCCTGTGTTCAAATCATTCGCTGTATGAAGACGGGTCATGGGTTAGGGTTATGGTAGGACAAATGTTGCATTGCAAAGTAGTAACACATAATATATATTTTTTAATCATATATGGTTGAATCATATTCACCAGGGTAATACACATAGATATAGGAGATCTAGATTGCTAACGCATACCTAGCGCAGGCGGGGCCTACATGATAAATCCAAGATGGCGGTACAACAGGGCAAAAAGACTATAGATTTTATTACGAAAATCAGGATTTTTGCATTTTTTGCCGTCGCATTGTTTTGAAACTTATTCGGTCAAACTTTATGGTAAAGAGAAACTTACCGCGAAGATTTTGAGCATATATATGATTGAATTGGATGAAAACTCGCAAAATTATCCATCGATATATAGTACTGAAATAGTACTATATATGTAACTTGTACAGTTTTGCTTTCATTTTTGCTCACTATTTGCATAAAAAGCAAATTGTAACAGACCATAGGTGATAGACCCTCATCCAGGGCTCTCATCAGTTTACTTCTCTAACAAGCAAGGTCAAAAAAGTTTTCAATCCTTATTTTCCCCATTTCCCAACCCCCCCTCCCCATAAATAATGACCACTCCCTAAAACAAGACCATTCAAAGTTTGTTAATTCATGATATATTTGAGCCTGTTGCTTGAACAATGTCTCTTCTCGAAGGTCTTTCCTTCCCAGTGTGGAAAGCTCATAAGTGGATACGTCTGCTGGTCACATGGTTATGCAAGGCATCCCATGCAGGGAGTATGGTAACATGGATTATGTCCCTAAAATGAAAGACAATGCAAGGGTACATCTAACTGATTGGAAGAAGTGTCATCGGAAGCTTATATGGGATAAGGATTTGAAAGCCATTCTTCTGTCATGTCTTGACCCTCTCAGAGAAAACAGCATCCCTGCGGCTTTAACAGTCGATTTGGAGACATATTTGATGAAGTTGGAATTAGTTCAAGATGATATCCATAAGATGAAAACGTGCAAGCTCTTTAGATTTGAATTTGCAAACCATGCGCTGTTCGAAGCTTGTATCAATGAAGAATCAGTGATTAAAATTTTGTACTGTAAGAGCGTTTTATCAGCCTAGTCCTAGACGTTCTGAAGCAAGTGCAAGAAAAAACATAGACGTAGTACGAGACTGGAACCTAGGTGTGATGTCACTGCTAAAGGTGCTTCAGAATGCCTAGCAGATTTCAGTGTTTTTAATATGGCGGAAAGTTTATATATACAAATAACCTTGTAAATATGACAATGTTTGTTGATCATGTTTGATGTACATGTATTAAAAATGTGCTCAATTAAAAAAATTATATACAAATTTACGATACTGAGTCTGAGCAATGGTCTTATAATCGTTGATGTTTAATATTTATATACTCGCAAGTTGTGATCAACACTAGACCATACTGGTATACACAACTACACTTTCTACTTAACAGGTTTAAGTAGCTGAGGAGATTGGAAATATTTGCATGCCTGACATGATAGACTTGCCCAAGTCGCTCGCTAGGGACCGCGCGTAGCAAGAAGGGAGCGCTTGAGAAAGACAGAAGTGAGCGACTTGTGTCACTTGCCTGATTTTGAATCTTACTGAAAAATTTGGCGCGAAAATCAATTATGAGATAGTGGGCGTTCACCATGTCAATTTCACTAGTTACTCGCTGGGGCCTTTCGTGGAGTGGCCAAAATATTTCAAACAATTTTGTTAAAATTTTCAACGAATTGTAGCCGTTTTTTATGGATTTTGCATTGTGTCTAACTCTAGACATTCTTGCCAGTTTAGTTAATGCGTTTTTCTTTGTGCACGACTCTGAAAATCCGAAATTTGGATCGTCGAATTCCCGTGCATGACATAATATACTGAATCTGAATATAAACGAAGCAAAGACAAATTTCAATGTAAAATTATAACTTACAGTAAACTACACAACTTATTTTTACTGTAATAGATAACTACTTTACGAGAAGTCATATCAATATAAAATTTATCCAACAACAGTCCCTATATTAAATTGTTGTTAATAGCTGTGGAAACGTGAAAACTGTAGTGTGAAATATATTGTATTTGTAATGGCTAATGGCGCAATAAGGATAAAAATACCAACGTTCGATTCAGCGTAAGAAATTGTACTTACGGATGTCAAATGTATTACTAAACAACGGTATTCTAGCGATTTATGGCCATTCAAAATCAAGCGAAATTGTATTGTTTACAAATCGTTTGCAATACGTATTCATGTTGACACTCAGTCGCAGTATGTTTGTCCTTGACCTTGTACTAAGTTGTAATGCCTAATGGCGCAATAAAGATAAAAAATACCAGCGTTCGATTCAGCGTAAGAAATTGTACTTACGGGTGTCAAATGTATCACTAAACAACAGTATTCTAGCGATTTATGGCCTTTATCTTTACAGTAAAATCCACGCGAAATTGTATTGCGAACGAATCGCTCAAAATTATTCAACTAATTATAAAAAATGCAGTACGTTTGATCCTTGATAACTTTGGTATCGTTGGTTTTCTCTTTTTCGGCCGTATACCAGTGGATTTGTCTCGCTTCTCTCTTCATTTTGATAGTATTTTGTGCCCAAAGGCCCCAAACTATTTTATTTTTAACGTTTTAAAGCGCTGTTTATAAATCCTAGCCGGTGGACTAACGCCGAGAGTTTTGTTTGTATAGGCCGCATTGGTACTGTGTCTGATTGTATAAAATCATGAGCTGGGCTCATTATATTAACAGAAACTTCAAAACTGAGCCACCTACCTGCAATACAAACCTAGCCAATTTGAGAGCGGCAGCACTCTCCCCTTGACAAGTAAAATCGACTGGTATATAAGACATTAAAATAATAAAGTAGGTTGCATGATAGACAGAGCACTGTTACATGTTGATATAGTTCAAAACAGAGTGAACAAAACTGTAACTGAAAAGTTTAATCTTCAACCCTTTGTCGCTCGTATTCGACAGTTCCGCTTAGCTCGTGACAACCAAGGGACAACCATAAATCTTAAGTGAAACAACTGTGTACTGCATGCATGTATGAATCATATACGGTTATGTGCGTGTTTGTACGGTGTATAGCCCCAGTTAACGCTCTATAGAGCGTCTCTTGTTCATTATTGTTTTGTTCATATGCGACTTTCCATATATTCACAATGGATGGCGAGTCTGTTTATCAATGGTTTATATTAAATATAAATTTTACAAAATGGCGTCGTTAGTACAGAATAATAATGAGCATTCACTGACGTCACCGGAGCAAAAATGCACCGGTGATTTTGGCGCGCTTGCGGGTGACAAAAGTCTGTAGCTTCCAGGAACCACGAACTTTGGAAAGTCTACTGACATGACTGTGTTGTCAAGACATTTGTAGTCAGAGACTCGGCATAATTTTCAAGCTTCTAGATAGCATTTACTATGGCTTTATCCCCGAGCCGGCGGCGCAAAGCGCCGTGCGAGGGTACTAATTCCCCCCGGCTATTTACACCCGGGGAAACGAAAGCATTAGCGAAGTCTAAAGTTCATCAAATATCGCGGGCGTGGCTCACCAACGATGTTTCGGTGGGTGGTCATCCTCACTGATCTCAAAAATATGGCGGACTGTCATGAATAGCGCACACTGATTGGTCCAATTTAAAGTTTGCATTATAACGACTGCATGACGACAGCGAAATAGCAAACATTTCTTGATTTGATGATTGATAAATTTCTTGCAAATTTATAGTGTGATGGGATCTCAATGTCCTTTGTTCAGAAAATGTTATTTCAGCAGCGACAAAACTGTATATCGATGGTGATGTAAGATTGATGCTGCCATGTCATAGAGTTGGGTATCTTAAGAAAAAGACTCCTGAGTCCTACAAGACAAGTCATGTTTTCTTAAAGTATGCTAAAATTCAGCCTCCGGTTAAGCCGGTTTTCCACTTGCAAATTTTTTCGTGCGAAGCAAATTTTTCCTTTGTCTATCCAATTAGTTCCAAATGGTTCCACTTGAGAGACCAAAGACAAATGAAAAATTCACCTCACACGAAAAAAATTTGCAAGTTGAAAACCAGCTTAAGTTCAGTCTGTGGCGCAGTGTTGTTATTTAGGTGCAAAAATTTTAATACTTTTGGCGCATAATTTGATGAACGATCTTAGCCATCCAGCGCAAAATATTTCAACATTCCACACTGGATTGTCTGTTTAATGAAGGATATGTTAGCAATGTTCAAACAAAGCTTAATATTCCAAACAATGTCAGCGGAAGTAATTTATACTGAAACCTACAGTGCATGCATCAATGAAGAAGCTGAGTTATGTTGTTTATGTACACTTGAATCAAGTAAATGGTGAGGTTGTTACGGTCATTTGTGTAAGGCAGGCAAGGGAGGCCAATGTAAACATGTTGCTGCTATGCTGTATCAAATTATTGACTATGTTCAATTAGAAGTGTCAAAAGTGCCTGATGTTTTGACATGTAACCAGGTATTACAATAGAGAGTTTTAGATTGACGTTTACGGCAAACGTCAAACTGCTAATGAAGTTGTTGGTTTTACAACTCTATTATAACAGCTTTTACACCAGTTTTGAAATATATTAAATAATTATTAAACTTGTGTTCTTTAGCAATGATTTAAGAAAGCAAATTAACCACTAGTCACGTGTTCACCAAAGCTGTAAATTACGATCTGGTGTTTGAAGATGATTTTGGCATATAAATTTTATGCTTGAACTGCTACGAGGGCTTGTAGTCGTCAAATAATGAAATTTATACGCCAACCGTAAACTTCAAATGCTAAATCTTAATTTACTGCTTTTGTGAATACATGACTAGTGGTTAATTTGTTTTCTTGAATCATTGTTAAGTACCACAAGTTTAATAATTGTTTAATATATTTCAAAACTGATGTAAAAGCTGTTATAATAGAGTTGTAATATCAAAAACTTTGTTAGCGGTTTGACGTTTGCTGTAAACGTCAATCTAAAACTCTCTAATAATGGAATGTATCCTCCGGGCAAGGAGCTAATTCTAACAACACTATCCTTTTTGGACACATAGCATTAAAAAGTCATCCGTCATTTGAAGCAAAAACATAGCAATGAAAGGGATGTTAATTTCAACCCGACACCTCCAAATGGTGCGGTATCTCAGAATGACATTAACAAATTGGTTGATAGTTTGCAGTGCAAAGGAAAGGCTGAATATTTAAGAGCGATCATCAGTAAATATCGCCTTAGGTGTGTAAAAAATCAACATCTCTCAAACTGTGTTAAAATAAAGATCTTTGGCAAAGTATTTAAAGAAAAACAGGTCTGATGTTAAATGGGTTTATATTTTAGGCACACAGCCGAAATTTAGATTTCATGGCTCTGAAGGAGACTTTACCATGATTTGCCCACACTTATTTGAAAGCTCGCCTAAAAATCTGAAACTTAATATACAACAGCAACAATTTCTACTCCAACCATAATAGATTATTTGCAATATTTACCGGGTGTCCCAAAAGGGACCACAGGTTTGCCGATAAATGGTTGGTTTTATCGTTTTATACCTGTTATCATTGATATGCTTTATAGCATTAACTGCATGAAGTATAAACATGGTCACTCAACCGCTGACATAACAACACAGCCGTGCGCAAGCGGAGCGTATTGCAATGATTATGTATATATATATACTAAAAGGTTGGCAACTCCCGGGCGGCGTTTCACCTATACGATCTATATACACAAACTTACACATGAAAATACTCTTAAACACAAAAACTTAGAAAAAAGCCAACTGTACATGAACATTGATTCCTTTAAAGCATTTGACAAGTTTTTTTTCGCTTTAGAACAATTGCAAACACAAGAACTGTGAGGAAATATAAACGTTTTCGGGCTTGAAATGGTGAACAGCTGTCGGGTGCACAAAACCTGCCTGACATCACAGAACCTAAAGATCCCATTGGCTAGATAAAATAAACAAACTTTTTGCAGGAACATCAAATTTCTCGTCTCCAGGGGGGATTTTCTTGAAAATTTCCAAAAGCAACAAGTCACAAATAAATTAGGAAATTTATACATTTATTGTTATTAAAAATAAAATGCTGTTTTGCTTTAAAAAAGCTCATTGATTCAAGCACAAAATAAAAATGTGAGGATATTAAAAAAGGCAAGCAAAAGTTTTGAAAGGTAAATTCCATTTCTGTTGTGTTTTATCTCATAGAAAATAGTGCATGAATTTCATGTACTTTCATTTGCAAAATGATAATATATGAATGTACAAGTACTTCAAGGAGAAACTCGTAAAATAAAATACTTTTAACAAACTTCATGAATAGTTTGAATGGAAAACGATCCAAAAATAAGGAAAGAAGCTTGGTCCAGGAGAAAGTGCTTGGTTTGGTAAGTGAAATTGCTATATCTTTTATTAAAATATTTGTTATAATAATCTGCAAACTTGTGTTTGTTTTATTAATAAAGCGAGAACAATGGCAGAATCCTGTTATGTTAACTCATTAACTGGCAAGCTGTTACAATGTTTCCACCCCCTTAACTGGCAAGCAATATGGTTAATTCATGATTGAATTCCAAGCTTTCACCAAAATGGCAATATCTCAGAAACAATTGCATAAATTTATATAAAAACTAAATTAATACATATCTACATTATCATATCTATTTTCATCTTTTGGGATATGAATTACAAAATTATCAAAAAATTCAAAAAATACTTCTTTGCTCTTTTGGGGCATCTTGTTTACAACATGAAATTTAGTAATTTAGAACAGTAACTAAGTCTTCAAGTTCAACAAAGTGTGCAAGCCAAAACACAGTGTTTGTACATCTTTAAAGTTTTTTGATTACTTCAAATATATTTAAAAGGACAGATAGTACTTAAATTTATTTATTTCAATATAAACCAAGGATGGGAAGGTGAGAAAATGGGAATTTTCTCAGGTGTTTTTAACACAGACAATGACAGCCGACATTTTGAAAGGCACTTTGCGGTGACAAAACTAAAAGCTATTCACTTCTGTACTCAAAGCACTGAAAAGCATCGTAAAGAGAAAAACATTTTAAACATACATCAGGTAAGACTTTTAGCTCAATATTCTCATGCTTCTATTGCAAATAACGGGAAAGAAATGGTTTTAGCCAAAATTATTTTGCGTGCCAATGTAGGCTGCTTATAAAATGTCAGACAGGCGGTATAGTAATGACGTCATGTCATTCACTCGGCACCAGGACTATACGGTCGGAACTAATTAAATAGATATAGATAGGACACGTTGTGTAGAAGGAACACACACACTAAGACATCAATTAGAACTGTATCATTATGTTATGCTAAATTTATTCTATAGCACAAATATATACCTAGTACTTAGATATTACATTGGCGACGAGGAGTAAATTTTATGGAGCAACAATCTAACAGTCAGCATGGCACATTCAGTACCTATTCGCCCAATGCCAAGTTTAATCCCGACGCCGAACTTGGCGCGAGCGTCGCTGCACGTTGGAAAAACTGGGTCGCAGGCTTTGACATGTTTCTCCTGGCTAGTGGCATTACAGATCCTAAATGACAACAAGCTTTGTTGCTATACCAAGCTGGCACAAGAGTGCGCGAAATCTTTAAACAACTGCCTGACATTGGCAAAGACAAAGACTATGATATTGCCAAAGCGAAATTACTTGCCCATTTCGAACCGCAGAAAAACAGATGCTATGAGGTGTATCGATTTCGAAAAGGCTGTGCAAGAACCAAGGGAAACTCTCGATCAATTTCACACATGGCTTCGAACTTTAGCCCAAACTTGCAAGTTCGCATCGCCAGATTTCGAACTCGAAGAACAAATAATTATTGGAGGGGCCTCTTCGAAAATCCGCAAACGTGTGTTGCGTGATCCAAGTTTTAATTTAGCTGCCATGCTCTTAGAAGGCCGCCGAGATGAACACAGCGCTTTCCAAGCTAAAGACATCGAATCGACATCGCCTGACAGCGCAACGAGCACCTTTGATGAAATTGACGCTCTCTACAGACCGACGGGATGTAGCAATTGTGGTGGATCTTTTCCTCACAAAGGTCTTTGCCCCATGAAAGCCAAACAGTGTCGAAAGTGTGGCAAACTTAACCATTTTCAAAGCATTTGTCGAAGCAGACCTATTGCACAACCAAGTGGCAGTCTTGCACAGCAAGACTCCACTCCGAATTACCATAGCAACGCCACACGAAACCCGATATCACCTCTCGAGCACTACACCACCGGTGACTCAGATGACGATCATACCTACGGAATTCACAGCCTCGATAAAAGCCTCAAGTTAACGTCACAGTGGGTGCCCATTCGTTTAGCACAATAGTTGACACAGGCGCAACTATAAATGTGATCGATGAACGCACATATCATACTTTGCGCTGTATCTCTCTACAAAAGACAACGACGAAAGCATTTGCGTACAACTCTACAACCCCGGTACCGTTCCTTGGGAAGTTTACAGCAACTGTCAAAACGCGCCGGAAAATTACCACGGCGACCTTTTATGTCGCACAGGGTTCAACAAGCGGTAACCTCTTATCCTTGTCAATAGCCCGAGAACTGGATCTCGTCAGTCTTCACCTCAACAACATTTCCAAACCTTTGCCGCAAAATCCTAACAAAGATCCCAAACTCAATGACATTCTCGAGAGTAATGCCAAAGTTTTCGACGGATTGGGAAAACTGAAAGGACAGACCGTCCACCTAAACATTGATCCCAATGCTAATGCTAAAGCTCAACCACAGCGCCGCATCCCTTACCATATCCGAAACAAAGTTAAAGATGCAATCATAACCCTTGAAAAAGACGACATAATCGAACAAGTGCCTGAAGATGAACCAACCCCCTGGATTTCTCCTATTGTCGCCGTGCCAAAAAAAGATGGAGGAGTGCGTATTTGTGTTGACGTGCGACAAGAGAATGAGGCGATCAAAAGGGTCCGACACCCGATACCTACGGTTGATGACGTAAGATTTGAACTGAACGGCGCGAAATATTTCTCGAAATTGGACTTATCCCAGGCGTATCACCAACTCGAACCGAAAAGCAGACATATCACCACATTTAGTACACACATCGGGCTATAATAAACGTTTAAATTATGGGACAAACGCTGCCGCCAAGATTTTCCAATACACGCTTCAGACACAATTACAAGGACTCATCGGAGTCAAGAACATAGCCGACAATATTATCGTTTATGGAAGTACTCGCAAGGAACACAATGAAAATCTAGACAAGTGCCTATAACGTCTAACAACCCGAGGATTGACCCTCAACGCCAGTAAATGTAAATTATTGAATCCCACATTGGAATTTTTCGGTCGAATCTTCTCTGCCGATGGCACGCGACCCGACCCTCAACGAGTCGCCGACCTCCAGAATGTGGCCACACCCACCACTGTCCAAGAAGTTCGAAGCCTTCTTGGTATGGCGAACTACAGCAGTCAATACATCCCCAACTTTGCAACAATCACTGCCCCCTCCGTCTCCTAACGAAAAACGACACACCATTTGTGTGGACCACGGTACATAAAAACGCGTTCGACAACCTGAAAGCCGCTCTAACGTCAGCCCCATGCATGGCGTATTTCGACATCCATAACGAGACCTTTGTTGTCGTCGACACGAGCCCTGTCGGGGTATCGGCTATCCTCTCACAAAAATCGCCAAATGTTGCAAATTCCAAAGTCATTGCTTACGCCAGTCATGCCTTATCGCCCGTCAAAACACGTTACTCCCAAACCGAACGAGAAGCCCTCGCTGTCGAACATTTCCAGATGTTCCTGTTTGGACATCATTCTACGTTGGTAACCGACCACAAACCCCTCGAAACCGTCTGCATGTATAGAACGTTGGGTTCTGCGATTACAACTGTACCACTTTAACGTCATCTACAAACCTGGTGCCACCAACCCCGCTGATTATTTATCACATCATCCTGCATCACCATGCATGTCACACCCGGATCGCATGGCTGAAGAATATGTCAACTTTATTGAACGACACACTGCCCCCCCCGCGCCATGCCACTCAACGAAATTGCCACAGCTACACGTGCAGATAAGACTCGTGACTTGTTTACATACAAACAAGTGGTCCACCGACATTCTGACGTCATTCAAACACATCAAAGACGAATTGACAGTCACCAACAACGGCATTATCCTGCGTGGGCACATCGAATTGTCATCCCCCAAGCTTTACAACAACGCGCAATCAACATCACCCACAAGACGCACCTTGGTCTAACCAAAACCAAAGCATTAATTCGCGAAAAAATCTGGTTCCCGAATATCGACGCCATGGTTAAAACAACTCTTGATCGCTGTTTAACTTGCCAATCCCTTGGCCGACCCGGCCCACCAGCACCAATCACCCCCACCACCATGCCTGATGGACCTTGGCAAACTGTTCATGTCGACTTCTATGGTCCTCTACCCACTGGAGAATACCTTCTTGTCATTGTAGATAGATATTCTCGGTTTCCCGAGGTCGAAATTGTCCACTCCACGAGAGCCTCTACTGTGATACCAAAACTCGACAAGATCTTTGCCGTTCATGGCATTCCTACCCTTCTCAAAAGCGACAATGGTCCCCTTTCAATGGCGAAGAATACCAACGCTATCTCACTGCCCTTGGAATAAAGGCAATCTTCTCTACTCCCAAATGGCCCCAAGGCAACGCTGAGGTAGAACACTTCATGCAATCCTTAGGCAAATCCCTGAAAGCTGCTAAACCTGACGGTCGTCCATGGAAACAAGAGCTAAGTCGTTTCCTGTTGTACTATCGCACCACACCACATTGTACCACTGGTCTTCCACCCTCTGAACTGTTATTTAATCGCCAAGTTCAAGGAAAACTTCCTATTTTACAAAAATGCAATCTTGTTAACCGTCACAACGAGGCTTGGGAAAAGGAAGGTGAAAGACAACAATATAACAAACGTTACGCTGATGAAAAGAGAAACGTTAGAGAAAGCCCAATAAAAGTTGGCGACTACGTTTTGTGGAAGCAAGAGAGATGGAACAAACTCACCCCTAATTTCAATGAAACACCCAACATTGTCATCTCGCAAAACAACAACACAGTGACAGCACATAGTCAGACAGGACACACTATAACTCGCAATGTATCACACTTCAAGCCAATACCGAAGCCAAAGATTGATGTTCAAGTTGACGACGACGATGACAGTGAAACGTATGACGCGGAAAGGACCGAACGAGACAGTTGACACTAGTAACCCTGAGCCAAGACAATCGACAAGGAATGTCAGGCAACCAGAACGATATGGCGAGGGAATTCCCTCGTCAGTAATTAGATAAAAAAAGGGGAGTGATATAGTAATGATGTCATGTCATTCACTCGGCAGCAGGACTATACGGTCGGAACTAATTAAATAGATATAGATAGGACACGTTGTGTAGAAGGAACACACACACTAAGACATCAATTAGAACTGTATCGTTATGTTATGCTAAATATATTCTATAGCACAAATATATACCTAGTACTTAGATATTACAGGCGGTTTCTTCTGAAGTCTGGCTCTGTTTTCAATCGCATTTTTGAGTTTGAAATAAGCCTTCATAAGGACTATTGTGTAGAAATGTTATCTATATGCTCATCATAACCTAATATTCAGGTATTCCACATAGCTATAAAAGGGTGAAATAAGAACTTTCATCTTTGGTTGTTTGTCAAATGTGAGAAACCACATAGTGCCATTTTGTCGCACATGCTATTTTATAAAATAAACACCTCAAAACCATATACTTCTAGTTCAGAAAATTACAAAGTCTCCCATAGACATTATTAAAAATGTTCTAGTGAAATGATTTCATGATAAATAAGTGAGCAATGGGCAATGGAAGCTATTTCAGAGAGAAGTGACATTTTGCAAACAACCGTCGCGACCTATTTTGATAACATTTCCTTCTGATTCAACATGGAGTACTAGAAAATGATATTGCATCAACATAATTATCTGCTTTTAATATCGATTTAAAGTTTTATAGGGTATATAAAAGCCAGTAAAAAAGCATTTTAAAAGCTTTAGAACTCAGTGTGGACTTTTTGAGAATTTGCATGTGGCAAGCAAGTGCATTAATTCAATACACTTATTTTAAACCACAATATGTCTGAAATGAGTTGTCATTTTAAGACTAAATTGATGAAAATAGATATAACAGTGATTTTGGAATATCCTACTTATTTAGTGTAATTTAATACTCAAAGTATTCTTGCCAAATAGGGCACATACGCACACAGTAATTTAATCTGGTGTCGTGTGAAACATACTTTAGCTAAAATAACTTGAGCAAGATGACCAACAATGGGGTCACGGGGCCGTGTTTATCTTTCTTGTGATTTTCGACTTCTATTTTTAATAATAAAGTTTGGAGAAATCCTCATCTTTTCGGTACTTCTGTGAGCCGTGTGCAAAATCTTGCACATGGTTCACAGAAGTACTTGGCCCAAAATGGCAATACATTTCATGCCATTTCCTTTCATGCCAAATTTCATTGTGGATCATTCAAAAACCTCTTCTTTTTTTGCTTTTAAAACATTTATGTGAAATTCTTCTTTCCAACAGTATTGCCATTATTCATTATTTTTGAAGAACTAAGGTTTTAAACTTGCGAGTTTCTGACCGATTTTCTTGCATGATACACCATTGAAAAGCTCAAATTTCACGTTCTATTTTGTATCTGTTGCTAGGCAACCCAATAAACATGTGCTCAAATATCATGCCCGCAAGTTGAGGTGTCATTTGAGGGCGTGCCAATCTCAGGGCGCATTGCCAGTTAATGAGTTAATAAACTGTGCAACAGTTAAAAGATATATGCAAGGACAAGACGCATGAGCAAAGCCTAGGTATTTTATGTTATGTATATGAACTAAACTTTATTGCCGGCATTATACAATAGCTTTATGCCTATATTTTGAAAACACTGTACCGGCTACGCCGCCAACGATGGACACACTCTATCTCGAAAATATAGCACGCTCTGAAATGAGTTTATTAACGGATTCAGGCCACACAGAAATTTGTATTTCAAACATCAAGACGGCTATTAAACATTTATGCTGTACTTATGAGATTGTTTTAAAACTCACTTAATAAGTAAAACAGCGATTGATTGCAGACTGGAGTGATCTGACAAATATTCTTTTTTCCGCACGACCAAGTTGAAAACATGTAACCATATAACCGTTCCGAAATCCAAATCTTTATCATTATTACAGTAAATGCATTTCAATGTCCACACAAAGTGTTTTTAAAATGATGCACAATTTCTTAAAATGCTCTGATGTTTGTGAAAACAAATCCATTTTCATCCAGACTGAGGTCCACTGGAAAGCAATTCGATCCCAGCCATGTAGACAAAGCAAGTACATATTCTTTTTCAAATGACACAATAAGCAAAAGAATTTAAAAAGGGGATTCAGTTCAGAACGGATTTTCAGTTCAGAACGGATTTTCAGTTCAGAACAATTCCACTTTGGTGGGATACAGGTGATATAGGAGGAGACTTTTGTCGGCTAAAGCTGATCCAAAGTTTGTTTAGACCCTGGAGATCCAATGCATAAATCTGTTCTTTTTGGCAAGGTTTTCTCGCATAGAATTGTTTTGTAAAAGATTATGAGGCAAAGTGAGTTTGAAGGGAATTTTAAGAAAGCTTTGGACAGTTTACGAATGGGGGATGCAATGTTGACACAGAGGCATATCTTTGTAGTTTGTCACGACAAATTGATATTGGAGACAACGTACCAACGCACCTGTAGAAGTGCACAATTCCTATATGTTATCATGTCTCTCAGGAGAAATTTTGAGGTACGAAAGTATTGACACAGGACGGACTGGCCTCTTGAAAAACACTGTCCCTAAGGTTTTAATGCTGGAACATGGTTGTAAGGTAATGCTTTTATTCAACATTTCAAAAATCGTTAACCAATGGAACTTTGGGTACGTTCATTGATGCAGATCAAACAGACAGTAAGAACGAAAGTCTCTTGATCAAATTTCCCAACGTTGGAGTGGTTTCCATTCCTCGGACAACTTGGTATGATACAGGAAGAATGGGCAGGTTCAAGCATCTCAGGCGCAGTTTCCCTTGAGCCTCTCGTATGCCATCACTGTGCACAGAGCGCTATGTTGTCATCCATTGCAGCCAAAGAGTTTGACACTGGTAAAACGTATGTGGCATTGTCGAGAGTCAGATCCGAAGAAAGGCTTCAAGTTATCAGCTTCCAGAAGCGATTTCTGCTAAAGCAACTAGCGCAAATCGAGCAAATTCACAGCATGGTAATCCGGTCTTGTCATTCACATGTTGTAGAAATAAAGTACTGGAGAGTACCAATTGTGAGTTGGATTGTGAAGAAGGCCCAATTAACGACGAAAATTCAAATCAGTTTGATGAAGACCTGCCAATCCACAAAGAACCGATTTTAAAATGTTTTGCATCAAACCAAAGAGTGAAACAAAACTTTAATCAAATTCTCCAACATATGACCAACGCTCAACAAAGAACCTCAACATCCTCCATTGACCCAACCACCAGATGATTTCGTTGTGAAAAATTTCTTGGAGACACTGACAAAGGATGAAATGTGGATATGTTAAGTCAATCCATCAAAGAAGCTGCACAATATGGAATCGCAAATCTGAAAATATTTGAACTGTTAACAGGAAGAGTTATTTGGTGCAGGGTGATTCATCTCTTTGAGGGTTATCTCTCAGGAAATGCAAAGGAAGTGCACATGTCGGCTGCAAATTTCACACAAGTTACAAGAAAGCTGAACGAATTGTTTCTAACGAATGAATACAGAAGTGACATAATGATGGTCAGAACTCACTTGTAGTGAGCGAATTTTGGGAGCACAACTTCTGTTTCATTTGAACCACATGTGTGTTGCTGAAATCAGCAAATCTGTTCCGTTGAATGCAGGGGAAGAGTCGCACACCCTGAAAGTATCAGACATTGGTCCGGATGGATGGGGCAAATTTCGGTATCTTGGTGGATGGACTTGTTGGAAAAGTCCCGAAGATATGTCGCAGAAAACAGATAGTCCATGTCAAGGGAAGTCCTCTGTAAGGTTGTTAAAGAAATGAAGAAGATCACTCTGTTAGAGGATAACGTCATTGTTTTGAGTCAGTTCATGCAGGAAACCTCAGAAGTTCCAGAAACCTTACAAGTTACTGAATCAAGACAATACCGAGAACGTGGGCTTCTCAACATATCTGACTCAGCGTACAAGTTTTTCCTACTCTTGGAACAACATAGGAACGACCACATCAATTTCAATCGAGTTGCTCAGCTTGGATCTAACTTGATTGACGATTCGGTCGCCTCACCAGGAATGAAGTTGTACAAAATATGTTTCTGAATCTTTTCTGTTTAGATAATGCAGAAGAAAGGGTAGGTTATCATGGTTCACCTTAAATGCACATGATCACAGAATCATAACAGACGTTTAGAATTTTACACATAACGCATTGATCCTAAGAACAGAGCAGGTGAATTCAATGATCCTAAGAATTGGTGAATACATTATTGAGAAAAATGATC